TGGTCCTCTCTGTGGATTGGCTGCTCTCAAAGGTTGTGGGGTAGGAAGGGTCCTAAAGAGATAGCTTTGATGGATTTTCTCAAAGAACACAGTTTCATATCTGGGACTTATTAAGAAGTTTGAAGAAAAACCTGAAACTTGAATTTGATGAGGAAAAAAAAAGCCAAGGAACTTCGAGAAATTTTTTTCCCCTATCACAGTAGTACATCACACTTTTCAAAGGGAACCCAAATTCTCCAAACTCACGGCCATTCACTTGATTCTGCCTCATACTGGGCCCTATAGGACAGCACAGATTTGTAACTCTTTATAAGGGGAGAATACATCATCTTCTCCCAGGGAGCAGCTGGTGGTTTCAATCTGCTGACTCTGTAGTTAGCAGCCCAACACAGAACCACTGTGTTGCAAGAGTAGAAAAGCTTAGCTATTTCCTATGGGAATTTCATTGAGAAGCATGACCCCGTCTACCCTGTATTCCCAATCAATGTTACAGTCCTTTAGACTACTTTTCTTCCCCAAAGCAAAGATTTTAGAAGAACTCACTCTGATTCTCTCAAGAGTATCAAAACTGCTTTTGAATTGATGGAAAATCCAAAAAATTATTTGGGGGAAGGGTTAAAACATAGAAACACTGCCTTTAAAAATCTACTGACCTAGACTGAGGATTCCCTATGCTGGGAAATAATAGACAACTTGGTATTTAGATTTAATAAAGGTTTATATGTGTTTATAGAAATACTCTTTAACGTACCCTCAGGTTTCACATAAGAAGGATTGATGATTTTTGGATCCAGACGGTTGCAATGTGTCTTTAGAAACAATTTCTCCTTGTGGGGTGGGGGGTAGAGTTTTTTCCTCCTGAATGAATGCTCCCTTACGAACATTTCCCCAGATTTAGAGCAGAGAGGATGCCTTGTCTGTTTAGTGCTAACATATCCAAACTTGGTTTTGATTGCTTTCTGCTTCATTGCTCGGTGGTCATATTTTCTCTGTCATTCCTCTTTGTTTTAGAATCCGAATCTGTTCCTTCTACTGGCTTCTCTATCATGTCTCTCCTTTAAATCGAATGAAGTCACTTCTATACAATAGAAAGGAAATCCTTTCTCTACTCCAACTATGTCCCTATTTCTCTTTCATTTTTAGGCTAAAGATGACAAAATAGCAAGTGTCTTCAATAAGAACTGAGAAGTGAGAACTTCTCCTACAGCCTTCAAATCATTATAATTAGAGAGACCTTTGTCCTTACTATTTAAATGAAATTAATCCTTGAAGTACCATTGACTGCCAATGTTAAAATCCTAGAAAATTACTTGCAGTTCTCATGCAAAACTTTTCTACCCCATTTCATTGATCTGAATTAATCATAATGTAGTCTAATCCAAGTTCTATAAACTACACAAACAAACAAAAA